GGGGGCAGCACACAACACTGCCTGAGCTAATGGGGCCATAGGAAGATGCTGGAGTTGAGGGTTTTTTTTGGCCGCTGAACAAGACAGGAAGTTCTCTTGAAGACCGGGGAGGCTGAACGTCCGTGCCCGGTAAGGGACCCCTACCCATTTTCTTTCCCCCACCCCCAAGAAAATAGGGCAGACAGAATTAGGCGCACACCTCATTGGCCTGTGGTGGCACATTCCCCGGCCAGGGACTTGTGAGAAAATACTTTTTTTTTTTTTTACTAGATGGGTAAATCCTTGACATAAGCGAATCCCCTGCCGTCGTTAAGTGGGTCTGTCTCCCCTTGGGTCTCTTTGCCGAGTCCCAACACTCAATGGAGAAATTTTGGGCCGGGGGCAGGGGCTGCTGCCTCTTTGAACGTTTCAGCCACAAGTTATCACAGCAAAGCTGGCGCCCTACACAACCAGGAGCTGCGCGTGTGGCTGTTGCGGAAAAAAACCCACGGCTTTGGATTGCTCTGGGTTGTTTTGGGGTGTCTGTGTGTGTGTGTGTGCAAAATGTGCTTTCAGCTGTCATTGTGCTGAGTTTCTCCATTGGCTGAGGAAGAAACCAAGCCAGATTTGACCACTTGCCTTGTAGGTTTTCTTTGCAACACAGTTTTTTACACACATACACACACAAACTTTGGATGCTGGATCGGGGTGAAATCTCGGAGGCTGTTTTTCCAAGCCATGTGGTGGGTTTGTCTCTTAGGTTTGAATCCTTTTTTTCCTCCAGTGTGTTGTGTCTGTTTTTTTCTAAAATACTGTACAACTAGCTGCAATAGGCCCTTACTCTGACTCACATTTTTAATTTTATTTTTAAATGGCATTTCTGTTTAATTCCCTTTTGGCTGTGAACGGAAACCTTGAAATCATTGACAAAGCTCAAATCTGAGGTTAAGAACGGAAGCAACATTAAAGTCAAATAAATGTGGAGAAAGAGAAAGGAAAAAGAGGGAGAAAGAAAAGGATAGAAAAAGATAGAGAAAAGGAAGGAAGGAGAGAGAAAGGAAAGGGTAGAGAGAAGGAAGGGGAAGAGTAAGGGGGAGAGAAAGAAAAGAAAAAGAAGGGGAGAGGAAAGGGAGAAAGGAAGAGGAAAGAAAAAGGAAAGAAGGGTAGGAAGGAAGAAAGGAAGGGGAAGAGAGTACAGGGGAGAGAAAGAAAATTTAAAAAGTAGAGGGAAGGAACAAGAAAAAGGAAAGAAAGGGGTAGAAAGAGAAGGGAGAGAAAGAAAGAAAAAAGGGTAGCGGGAAGGAAGGAGAGACAAAAAAAGGAAAGGAAAAGAAAAGCGGAGGAGAGGAAGAAAGAAATGAAAGACAAACGACCAGCTTTCTATAAACTCCCAGGGCTCTAATGCCACCGGATCCAAGCCGGAGCAAAGGAGGACTTATTCTTTTTGAACAAGAGTCTCTTCATTGGTTAACCTGTGGAATTCATTGCCTCAGGATCTTGGGGAGGGCAACCAGATCAGCGGGCTTCAAATGGGGACGAGATAAATCCACTGCTGCTATTTTGGGCTGCTGGCGAGAATAGCAACAGGCAACAATCGAAGGGCAAAACTTGTTCTGTCTGTCTGTCTTTTTTGGGGGGTGGGGCGGGGTGGGGAGGCGGTGCCTCCCAAAGAAGCAAGAGGCCGGGTCACCCTGAAAACAAAACGCTAAAAGCCTCCGGGGTGGTAGTTGTGGGTGGGTGGAGGTGTGTGTTTCGCTCAGTTCTGGTGTCCCGTGGAGCTTAGGATAGAGGAAAGGTTCCCCTTACGAGCAACGCACAGAGCTGTGAGCGTTGGCAAACCGTGAAGAAGAAGAAGAAGAAAAAGAAGAGAGTCCCAGAAGGGAAAATAAAAAGGAGAAAGGAGGAAAAAAAAAATGCACAAAGCTCTTTTGAGCCCACTTAAGGCTCCTTTGCAGCCAGAAAAGAAGAAGCAAGATCAGAAGACGATGCTGGAAGGGACTCCGGGAAGAGGAACAGAAGAATAACAGAATTAACAGAGTCAGTGGGGACCTTGGAGGTCTTCTAGTCCAACCCCCTGCTGTCCAGTCTCTTCGTAAAAGCCTTCCCACAACGTCTGCCTTCCGTTCTATTCTGCATATTTTCCTGTGTATTTTCTCCATTGTCTACCCTATTCTCCTATCCTATTATTCTATTCCACATTCTATTTCCATTCCATTCTATTCTATTCCCATATTCTATCCACTTATAGCATTTCAGACTTATATACCGCTTCACAGTACTTCCCAGCCCTCTTAAGCATTTTACAGGGCCAGCCTGTTGCCCCTGACAATCTGGGTCCTCATTTTACCCACCTCGGAAGGACGAGTCAACCTAGGCAGAGGTGGCCCGCGGTACAGCACTCTAACCACTGCACCCCCAAGGCCCCTCCTATCCTATCCCGTATCCTGTATTATCCTCTATTCCAAGGGGCTTCCAACTTGGCCAGTTTAAGACTTGTGGCACTTTGCAAACTCCCAGAATCCCTCAGCTAACGTGGACCGGAAGAGGAATTCTGGGAGCTGGAAGTCCGCAAGTCTTAAAAGCGGCCGAGTTCGGAGACCCCTGCTCTTAATCCCATCCTGTATCCGATCCTATTCTGCCGTGGGGGCACCGTGGCTACTAGGCGGCATTGCAGTTTCGTCAACTCTGCCCACGCCCAGCCGTTCGATCCTCCTCGCCGACTCGAGGTTGGCTCAGCCGTAAGTCGGTAAAACGAGGATCCGGGTTGTTGGGGGGCCAATGGGCTGAATTTAAACCGGGTAGGGCTGTAAAAGCACCGCGAAAGGGTATATTAAGGCAGCTCTTGGTATCGGGCTGGACTCCAATCCCCAGAGAAATATGTACAGGTGTTTTCCTCTTGCCTGCTCCCGGATCTTAGCAGCTGGGTTCGTTTCCCCCTCCCCACCCCACAGCCACCTGGTCCAAAATAAACACCAGGCTTCCCACTCAGCATCTCCAGGCAGCCTCACCTTGCCAAAAGCAACATCAATAACAGGGAGGCTTCATCGGGTGAAGAGTAGGCAGAAAGACTCGATTGTGTTGGAAGACCAGAAGGGGTCAAGAAAGGAGGAGCTTCAGGCAGAGGGGCTGAGACACCCCCCCCCCACACACACACACACCTGAATTTGGGGTGAAGGTGGGAGAGGCCAGGCAGGCAAGGCAAGGCCTGATTCCAAGCTCTGGGCCAGGGGGATATAAATATCCCACCAACGGGTATCCTTGGCGTGGCCAGAGGCTCCCAACCCAAGTGGTC